ACCAGGGATCGAACTCACGACTGCCTGCTTGCAAGGAAGGCGCTTATGCCGCTGAGCTAAATCCCCAGCCCCCCTCAGTATAGTTCTTAATATTCATTTGTCGTATCCACATATTGAGAGGTTACATGAATTTCACGCTGCTGTTTTATAAAGTAATTGCAAGGAAATATCTCAAACAACTATTCTATTCAGCCTAAATTTTCTGCTTAAATGGACACAGAAATTTTAAGGACTTGTCTCAAACCAAAATTTTCTCACAGCACTTCACATTGAAGCAATGATAATATTAAACACACTTGGACAGAAAGCAAGCTTGGATGTTTATTGAACTTATATGCCCTTTGAGGCGTCATGCTGGCCCTAGTCTCCATCAGTGAAATCACTGTCTCAGCTCCAAGAAGCTCACAGAACTATCACACCCTACGTGGAGACTTACCTGTTTTCCATCTTGACTAGAAACCCATGCCCAGATATGAAGATGTCAAGAGGCAGGATTGGGAAGATGATTAGTGATAAAGATGGCATCTCAAGGGTGGAAGGCGGGGGCAGAGGACTGCTCTTTGCTCTTCCACTGTGTGAGGACATTGCATTCTTCCCCTTTGCCCTTGGGTCTCCTCTGCCCTGTGAGGTCTCAGCATGAAATCCCTGACTAGACACTAAATAGCTAGCGACACCTTTATGTTGCACACCCCACCCTCCAGAACTGTGAGACATAGATGTCTGTTGTCTAGAAATTACTCATTCTGTGCTGTTTTATCAGTAGCACAAACAGACTGAGACTGGCAACAGCCTACAAATATGTCTCTCCTCCCGGTTCTGGGAGCAGAGCAGCTGCAGGAAGCAGAGCTGAGTGTCAGCCAGGCCCCCTGGCGTGAGCAGGCTCCAGGTCTTGATTGAAAGGCTTATGCAGAGCATGCTAAGGCCCAAATGGCCCGCATGACTGTGGCAGGGACCTGTCCTCGCCGGCCTGGCAATCCTGTATCCTTTCAGGCCCCAGAACTGTCCTGCAAGTATTTCTCCACCTTAAATCCCGGCTGATATCTCCTGCCTTGAAAATGAAAATCCCTTGATATATACTATAAGAAGTCTGTGATTTTCTGTCACCAATTTTGTTTGACCAACCTCAAGGCCTAGAGTTCTTCTAACTCTCAGACTAAAGAAAATTGAAAATGTAGATGTACTGTATTTAAAAAAAAATTTTTTTTTTTGTCTCTTTTTCATTTTTATTGGTACCGGGAATCAAACCCACGACTGCCTACTTGCAAGGCAGGTACTTATGCTGCTGAGCTAAATCCCCAGCCCGATGTACTGTATTTTTACAAAAAAAAAAAAAAAAAGGTAGATGAAACAGAGGTGAGCAAAGAAATCAGAGAAGAGCCCTCGACACCTAGACATCTCTTAAAAGTCTCTGTTTCTGAAAACTGTCTGTCTAGGGGCTGGGGATTTAGCTCAGCAGCATAAGCGCCTGCCTTGCAAGCAGGCAGTCGTGAGTTCGATCCCTGGTACCAATAAAAAGGAAAAAGACAAAAAAAAAAAGAAAAGAAAACTGTCTGTCAGAGACACCTGATTTTGGAGGGAGTCTGTGCAAATGTAGCCAGTATAAAGAGCTCCTAGAACTCAATGATTTAAGAAAAGAAACCAAGTTAAAAAAAATAAGCAAAAAAAGCAGTTGAAGGGAGGGCTGGGAAATAGGGGTGGGAAGGACTCATGTCGTGTCATGAACAGTATAAATGCCCAGTAATGAATGTGATCATTATGTATACCTGAAATGTACCAATAAACTTAATTAATAAAAATGTTTTTAAATATGCAAAGCATGTAACTAGATGTTTTTCCAAGGAAGATATACAAATGCCGGTAAGGTCCTCATAGGTTCTCAGAAGCATCAGCCAGTAGAGAAACACAGATCAAGCCCACAATGATACCAATCACTTCATACCTACTGGGGTGGTGGAGTCAGAAAAAAGCAAGTGTTGGCGAGGGTGGGGTGGAACCGGAGCCCTTCTACACCGCTGGTGGAACTGGAACACGGTCCAGCTGCTTTGGAAAGGAGTCAGGCAGATCCTCAAAATGTTAAACACGGAGCCAGCAGTTCCACTCCTGGACGTATTCTCAGCAGCAGTGAAACCATGTGTACATGCCAAATTTATTCATATGCACCCACAGTGGAAACTATAAAATGCCCATCTCTGATAAGGAAACATCGTATGTATGCAGTGGAACACTATTCAGCAGTAAACAGGAATGAAGAATTTACACATGCTACGTTATAAGGGAAACTCTGAAAACAATATGTGAAATGAAAGAAATCCAACCCACGAACATATTTCAATTTGAAATATCAAGAACAGGCCAATTCATAAAGATTGAAAATCTATTAATGGTTGCCTGGGGTTCATGAGCTTGGCAAGCTGGTGGGAAATGACCACTAACAGATGCATAATTTCTTTTGGGGTGATAAACATGTTTTGGCACAAGACATATGTTGTGGTTGCACAAAACTGTGAACATGCTAAAAGCCATTGAATTGTATAGTTAAAATGAGTGAGTTGTGAGTTATATCCTAATAAAGTTATTTTCAAAATGACAGGTCTATTAAAAGTGGTCTTCTTTAGTTGTACACAAATAGGAGATTAAATGGCCTGGAATACAGTGGATCTTCTTAGGTACTATTCAGGAGGAAAGAGACAAAAGAAATGGTTTCTCAACCTAATTTTGATTTTTGTAAGTCACTCACTTTAGATAGTTCACCTGCCAAGTAGGTGGCCAGAACCAAAGACATTCTCAAACACAAGCATTCTTTAATTCAGATTTAAAAGGGATCTGCATATGTCATAGGAAAGTAAGAGAGCAATCATGAAAATAAAATGTACTATGTCTATTATTTGAAAAGTATACAGCAATACATCAACTGTGACCCTCTTACGATGGACAATTAGTGTTTCCCCTTTTTTTGTACCAGGAATTGAACTCAGGACCCTGTGTTTGCCAGTCAGGCCCTAGTGCTGTGAGCGACATTCTCAACCCTACGCATCACATTTTATATTTGTGTGTCTTTCAAGTCTTCCACGGGAAACATTTTTAATTTTATACTTAGAAAAAACATTTTTTTTTATTTTAAAAAACTGTGGTGTTACATAGCTTAAAATGTGATAGAAATAAAGGTCTGTTAAATCTGTAAATACAGATGCGGAACATTTATAATTCTCTAATGATGTGTGGAGATATTTGGAACCCCTTGGTATTTTTAAAATTGGTATTCTTCTATACAGAATTGAGTTCTTTGTTCAAAGGTATTCTTGGCTGTCAAAGTGAATGTGGTCCTTGGCACCTAGCTTTGATTCTCATAATGTATGTGCATGTGCTGACCTAATTTACATAGACACCAAGGGAGACAGGAAGCCTGTAGTACATCTTTCCCAGTAAGAGAGAAACAGAAAAAATACTGAATTCTACAGTTTCGTATGTGAAACTCGGTTGTTCACCAAGTATCTGGACTAAGAACTAGAGGAAAACTGTCATAAAATAATATATCCTGTGCAATCAGTGATTTACCATGAAGGACTGGATAAAATAATGGAGGTGTTTTTATTTTGGATATCCATGCCAGAAAACTATCACTGTGTGCGATAGAGAGCACTTTGATTAAACACAAGATTTTCTTTAATGTACGTTTTGTGTGCAATCCATTTCAAATGGCATTTCATACTCTATCAGTTTGAAACATAAATTGTGCATTAGAAGAAATGAATAAAAATATAGTTAAAGATCTAAAGTAGGATGATGGATTTTCAGGGGACATCAGAGGTACACCTGCATGTGCCTCCAGATGTTTGCTTATTGTGAAGGGATACGGATCTAGAAGTCATACTGGACTTCAGGACACCCCAATCAGTGGGGTTCAAATGGCTTCCACCCTGGGAGGCAAACTGTCCCTTACAGTCACGGAGTGACCTAAGATGAACACTAGTTCCTCTGCTTATTGCTGTGGCCAGTGAAGAGGCACTCAGCAGGACACGAAGGGTATCTCTGCGCTTGCTAATTATTTCTGTGGCAGCATTAAAAAAGGAAGAAATGCCTGTTGGTGTCAGGAGCATCACTTTTTGCCTGGCTTCCTCATTGTCTTTGTCATTTAAATATGCTGTTGGGTCAGTACAAAGATAGGAAGCAAGTTACCCAAAACCTTGCAAGGACACACTGAGTTTCAAATTAGCAGATGCATCTAGTGTATGGGAAGTCCATGTATATTTAGTTTTGGGGAATGTTAAACAGTACCACGTTTTCTCCGGGAAGAACATTCTCAGTATTTCAGAAGAATCTTTGACAGTCCTACACATACATCCTCCCATAAACAATTGCTGCTGCTCGGGTCTGAAGCAGCAGGCTTTAATTATTTAGCCTCCTGTTCTATTTGGGTATCTCGGAAAGTAAGAGATAGATGGGGGAAATACCTGAGCAGCAGGAAATACCCTTGTGTATTTGTTTCTACCGGGCATCGCTGGGCTCTTCTGCTGATAAACATCTATGTGCACAGGAGCCCAGAGATACCCAGAGATGCTTAGAGACCCACTGCTAGAGCTGGAGCCCCAGTGCCAGCAGCAGCCAGTGTGGAACCCTGTTCCTCCAGGGCTAGACCCCTGCACATGGAACATGGTGGAGAATAGTGCTCTTCTCCCAGAATCATTATCATCTCAGTCTTTTTTAAAAAAATAACTTTGAATTTAAGGTTTAAAAATATCAGTACATGTTCGTCAATTGAGACTAACAGAATATTGATTGAAAACATGCTAGTAGCACCCACAGAACTTAGCTTCTCAACGTCTGTGCTGAGGGGCCAACTAGTGGGGATGTAGTGACTGGTGGTTTTTTTTTAGTGGGGAGAGCGGGGTATTGTAAATATTTTTTGTTTGATTGACAAAATTGTGAATGATATGCTTGGTTTGTAACATAGAGTAAAGCAGGCCTTTTAATAGTCTCAGATGAAACATGGAGTAGGAAGCTGGACGGGTGTGAAGGGGGCGTTCAGAGTTTCCTCTCTGACGTTCCTGAGTTGGCTGCTGAGGTGCAAAAGAACGATTCCCAGCGGCCCTGAAAGCTCCAAGTTCCCTCCCTCCTCGGCTGGACTAGAAAGCAATGGCTTCCCAGTGAGTTCTGTGGCCAAAGGAACCCGAGCCACGCTGTGCTTTACACTGGCAACCAGCTGCAGGTAATAACCGTGTGTCCCCACGTTAACACAATGAATGGAGCTGTGGCTTTCACAAGTGGCAGAATATTTTCTCTGAACTTTCTCTTAGAATCTCTAAATCCTGGTGAAATTTAACAGAATATAAAAGCAAACTCTGGGGGAAGTTCGCTACCTTCTGCTATCATAATTTCAGGCTACTTGCAAAGAGCACACTCATTAGTTTGCTAAGGAACTTTGTGTAAGGCTGCTACACCTTAAGTCCTGCTAAAATTAGACAAAGATCTGAATGTGCTATTTCAAAACAAAGTTCTCAGCAACCTCCCTTCTTGCACTGTCTCAGCTCTATTTTCCTTTCCCTTTCTCCGTGTGGTGTGGGGAACTTACTCTGGTAGTCATGTGCACATTTTCAAGCAAACCGTTTGAAACTGCTATTTATGTAAAACTTGAACTTACTGAGCTTAGAGGCAGCATTGTGCCTTATTTGGATTGCAGTTGCTCACCCTTTTCAAGTGGCATTAGCGAACCCCAGCTTTAAAGGCTTAATGATCACCCGCATAATACTCACCAGGCAGTCTTGTCAGAAACTGCAATTTGGGCTGAAAACAGCACTTTTATTTATTTGATTTGCTAATTTCCCAGAATTGGGTAAATGATTGCGGGTCATACTGATTTATGTTAGAACTATGTGAAAATATCATTTGGCCTACCATGTTTGAGACATCTTAGCATGATGTCCGTTTCTGGTTTTTCTCAAACACTAAAAACAAGAAGCTTCAATGTCCCTGGGCCACAAGAAAGCTTATGTTTCCTTCACTTTATTTAAATAGCATGAAACTACAGACATGCATCTCAGCACCATAACACATGTGCAGATGTATGTATATTTTTTAGGTACTGTATTTATTACTGGATTTTAATAACATTCTCTTCCGGTTACAATACTGCTTTGGTTCAGTTTGCTTTCGGATTCCTCCCTTTCGTGGTAATATGATAGCAAAAGGCTTGGAAAGCGTTACTTAATGGTCTCTGGGTCCGGCGCAGTGACTATCCTTGTGTTCATTCAGGGCCTTTGTAACTGAACACAGCCCGGTTTATCCTGAGAACCTCTAGTCTCCGCAGGAAAGAATGGCTCCTGACATTTGTAGAGTTAAAATATAGGATTAATGATCAGCTTTTAATGTGCAAATTAAGTATTCAGTATGAGTATTCAGCTTTCCTTTTACCCATTTTATTTAACCCAAATACTCCATCCAAGTGAGTGCAGATTGAGTCTCTACCTCAACCAACAGTGTTCGTAATAAGATGAGGTTTTAACTAGATTTTTAGGGTAAAATACAGAATTATAAGGAAGAACCTGGGGAAGTGACATATTTGTATCTCCACTGAGATGCCGTCAAGATTTCAAAGAAGTTAATGATTAACTTTAAAAATTGCGAGGCTTGGATCCCAGTGTAAAAAATAAAAAAGCTGCTGATCGGTGGACAAAGATGCACAACTCTGCCCTCTTCACTGTTATGTACTGGCTACGAAGCGGGCAGCCTAGGGATTGACACTTAAGAACATAACATCTTGTTCAGAGCAGAGGCTTTGCCCTGACCACAGTGCATTTGCCTGCCTTCCAGAAGTGCTTACTTATTTTCTTAGTCAGTAGATCTTAAAAATTATATCATTTTCATCCATGACAATCTATCTAGAAGCTACTTATAAATATCACATTATAAATACCTAAAAAATATCATATTTTTGTAACTGGAAAAAACATTTAAAAGCATAACATTACAAAGAGCTGTGTGAAAAAAACAAACCAAAAAACCACACACACACATGAAAACCAAAGAGCTGTGTGTCTATTGTCTCTGCCAAGATATAGGAGGTTTATTTTGCAAAACTGCATTTCCACGTTTCTGGACTGACATTTCTGGTGTCATAAACAATTGCCATTCTCAAATAACTTCCTTCCCGGTATCTTGGTGCCTTCATATTTCTTTGGCCATTTTATTTATTTTGTGGAGCAGGATTGATTCATAAGGCTGTTTTTCATTTTATATTTTTAAAGTTATTCTTTGGGTTCAGTAACATGGATTTCCTAGGCACATGGGTCCTGGACATCAGCCCGCTGGGAGGCCTGGCCGCACCCCCTCGGAAGTCCAGGGCTGTGAACACAGCTCCAGTTGGCAATGACAGAGGTGTCTCGAAAGGCACACCGCACGGTCTAGTGGAGCCCTCCCCCTGCAGTCCACAAAGTATCCGCATCATTCTTCATACCATAATGTATAGGCTAACAGGAAGAGTACAATTAAAGAACTTGGGAACTTTGGTCATAACAAACTGCCTCTAAATGGCTCCCAAGAGATTTCTTTTGTTATTTCAAAAACAATGTCGATTTAAAAGGATGCCACTGATCTCTAGCCATCCATGCCATATATTGATAGCCTTTGAGAAATTTAAGCCACATATAAATTAAACTTAGCGATCCTCTTCTCAGTGCAGAAAGACAGACAAGGACAAGACCAGGGTTTTATAGGAGCAAGTTTAAATGAACATGGCCTTTAGGAAGAGGGGAGAAGACTATTAACATATGGCGCACACAGGGATCTTCCAATAACGTCCCGTCTCTTTGTCTCTCTGTGTCCTTCTCATCTCCACCTCTGCTGGGGATGCAATCCGGGCTTTGCTTATTTTAGGCAAGTGCATGACCACTGAGCTACTTCTCCAGCCCCTGAAGCCCCCACTTTTTTTTTTTGTTTTTGAGACAGGGTTTCGCTATGCAGTTCAGGCTGGCCTTGCTTGAGCTCACTTTGTAGCCCAGGCCGTTCTCAAACTTGCAACAATTCCCTCGCCTCAGCCTCTCGAGTGCTGGGATCACAACCTTATGCCACCATGCCTAGCCCAAAATCCCTTTCAGTGCACATCCAGCCAGGATTTGCTGTGTGTCTCTTTACAGCAATGGGGTGGGGTTGGGGGTGGGAAGAAGTGGATTCTTTGAGCAAAGCCTATTTGGGGACGTGGAACCAGAGCAGATTCTGTGGCATCTGAAGGGCTGCCCGTGTGCAGAGCTGTGGCCCTTGATCTCCAGCTGAACCTGCTGCCTTTCCAGGCTCAGCGCCACTTTGGGCCAGGCAGCCCCTTGCTTTCTTGAGGCAGGGCCGTGGGGACTCAGGTGCTTCTCTGACATTTCCTTTTCCATCTTGTTTGGAGGTCAGGCAAAGTGATTCCTGGAACTCTAGGCCTAGGCGCCTGTGAAAACTGACAGAAGCCACAGGATGGGCCGAATCCCTACCAGACATCCTGCTCATGAGATAAAGACCATTTATAAAATGTACTTTATGTACAATAATGCTCATAATTGTCCTGTAACAGCCACAATGACAAAACCTGGTGAAGTTATGACACATTCTTTCTCTCCATTGATATTCTTATTTTCTGTAATTCATATCTCATTTAAGCAAACTAAAATAGAGATTGGCTCTCCCTAGTCTGCAGGTTGCTAGGAAACAGATGTTTCGGTTGTGTAATGCTGTATAGATGAATATTTGTCAAATATCAGTAATTTTAATGATCCTTTTGCATCTGACTCCCGCCTGCCAGCCTGACTGCTGGTCATTTGCACTGATGTTTTGTCCTGTCAGCAGGACTTCACAGAGAGGGGTCCTTGCTCTCATAAATGAGCCTCCCGGAGGACCAATTCTGTACCCGCAGAAGCCCTGAAATGACTACAGTAGTCTCTATTGTAAAGAGACCACTTCGTTCAGACAGGCTTGACACGTGAGTTGCAGAGCTACATCAACACAAGCCACAGTCTTCTACTGAGGCAAGATGTGCTCAAGAGAGTGAGCTAAATGTATTAAATTTAGAAAAACACACTCAATTTGACTTTAGCATTTTCTTAATTGTGATTTGCATTATCCAGTAACAACTTCTGACGGAAGTTAAAAACATGTTAGGTCTTTTAAACTTAGGTGGGAAGTGATGATAGAAAACAGTCTTGAAGAATAACAAATGCTGTTTTTAAGAGAAATCACTGCTGTCTATAATTCTATTTAACAATTGTCCATGCATTGATGCAGTGTAACTGATGCAGTTTTGAAAGTCATTGAAAGTCCTGGTGTAGGACACTTTGAGCTATTATATGGGTGTTGTGCTGATATTAAGGTTACTCTGAACAGCTTTGGGGTTTTCAAATAGTAAAGCGACGCAGTTGAAAGGTTGATGATAATCCACACACAGAAGAGCTCAATTCTGTTTTGTACCAAAAGAGACTGGGGTATGCCACAAAAATTCGGTAATAGGGTAAAATCAATTTCCCATTCAGTGTTACAGGGCCTTGCTTACAACAGGCAAATGTGCTGCCACTGTCGGCATCTCCAGCCCCTGAAGTCTTTTATGACCAGCTTCCATTTACAATAGCAACATAAATTAATATCTTAATTAATACTTCATTATATAATTTTTGCATTTAGAAAACCTTTGCAGATTGCCTATCTGAAAAATACTGCTCTTTAAATGAAAATTTCCATTTACTTCTGCATCAAATATTTATGTCCTCCAGCTTTTTAAAAAAAAAAAATGTCTCTTGGAGACTGATCAGCAGTTCTTTAACCAAAACCAAATGTACAAAGAAATAGAAAAGACACCAGTGACACCAAGCAAAGCAAAACTTGAAATCCTGTTTATCTATGCTCTCAGGGTTGCATAGGCGGTTTTCTTTCAGAAACAATAACAAGAACTTGGTGTTAATTAATTGATTCTTGGAGAAATGGCCCTAGCGCATGACATCTTACAGTGTGAGCGAGAGACCGCTTATCATTCACCCCACACATGCCAACAAGGAGTGGAAGGGAGCAGTGCTCAGGCTTCCCACCCACCCGGCCTCTGGCTGGATGCTCAACCGGGCTGAGATTTTCTCTGGATAACAATAAGACCCTGGTCTGGAGCCATCAGGACAGCAACGTTTCCGCAAAAGGAGAGCGGGCCCTCCCACGTTTCCACTGAGGCCGGCTCACAGGCCACTTGGACTGCAC